TGCAATCCAAGGGACTCTCAAGAGTCTTCTCCTACACCAAAGTTCAAAAGCATCAATTCTTTGGTGCCCAGCCTTTAAGGTCCAAATCTCACATCCATATATGACTACTGGAAAAACCATAGCTTTGACTAGATGGACCCTTGTTGGCAAAGTAATGTCTCTGCTTTTTAATATGCTGTCTAGGTTTGTCAGGAAGCAACAGTTAGAACTGGACATGGAACAACAGACTGGTTCCAAATAGAAAAAGGAGTACGTCAAGGCTATATATTGTCACCCTGCTTATTTAACTTATATGCAGAGTACACCATGAGAAACACTGGGCTGGATGAAGCACAAGCTGGAATCAAGATTGCCGGGAGAAACATCAGTAACCTCAGATATGCAGATGACACTACCCTTATGGCAGAAAGTGAAGAAGAACTAAAGAGCCTCCTGATGAAAGTGAAAGAGGAGCGTGAAAAAGTTGGCTTAAAGCTCAACATTCAGAAAACTAAGATCATGATATCTGGTCCCATCTGCTGCTGCTTCTGCTGAGTCGCTTCAGTCATGTCCGACTCTGCGCAACCCCATAGATGGCAGCCCACCAGGCTCCCCCATCCCTAGGATTCTGCAGGCACTTCATGGCAAATTGATGGGGAAACAGTGGATGACTTTATTTTTGGGGGGTCCAAAATCACTGCAGTTGGTCACTGCAGTCATGAAATTAAAAGACGCTTACTCCTTGGAAGGAAAGTTATGATCAACCTAGACAGCATACTGAAAAGCAGGCATATTACTTTGCCAACAAAGGTCCATCTAGTCAAGGCTATGGTTTTTCGAGAAGTTATATATGGATGGATGTGAGAGTAGAAAGCTGAGTGCTGAAGAATTGATGCTTTTGAACTATGGTGTTGGAGAAGACTCTTGAGAGTCCCTTAAACTGCAAGGAGATCCAACCAGTCCATCCTAAAGGAAATCAGTCCTGAGTGTTGAAGCTGAAACTTCAATACTTTGGCCACCTGATGCGAAGAGCTGACTCATTTGAAAAGACCCTGGTGCTGGGAAAGATTGAAGGCAGGAGGAGAAGGGGATGACAGAGGATGAGATCGTTGGATGGCATCACTGACTCAATGGACATGAGTTTGGGTGAACTCTGGGAGTTGGTGATGGACAGGGAGGCCTGGCATACTGCAGTCCCTGGGGTCGCAAAGAGTCAGACATGACTGAGTGACTGAACTGAACTGAGGCTTGTCATAGCTTTTCTTCCAGGGAGCAAGTGTCTTTTAATTTCACGGCTGCGCTCACCATCTGCAGTGATTTTGGAGCCCCCCAAAATAAAGTCTGTCACTGTTTCCATTGTTTCCCCATCTATATGCCATGAAGTGATGGGACTGGATGCCATGACCTTCATTTTTTGAATGTTGTGTTTTAAACCACTTTTTTCAGGGAGGTGGGAGGGGGGTTCAGGATGGGGAACACATGTCATGGCAAAAGCCACTACAATATTGTAAAGTAATTAGCCTCCAACTAATAAAAATAACCAAAAAAAAAAAACACCCCACTTTTTTCACTCTCCTCTTTGACTTTCATCAAGTGACTCTTTAGTTCTTCTTTGCTTTCTGCCATAAGGGTGGTGTCATCTGCATATCTGAACTTATTGATATTTCTCCCTGCAATCTTGATTCGAGCTTGTGCTTTATCCAGTCTGGCATTTGGCATGATGTACTCTACATATAAGTTAAATAAGCAGGGTGACAACATACAGCCTTGACATACTCCTTTCCTGATTTGGAACCAGTCTGTTGTTCCATGTCTGGTTCTAACTGTTGCTTCTTGACCTGCATACAGGTTTCTCAGGAGGCAGGTAAGGTGGTCTGGTATTCCCATCTCTTTCAGAATTTTCCATAGTTTGTTGTTGTGATTCACACAGTCAAAGGCTTTGGTGCAATCAGTGAAATAGAATTTTTAAAAAAAATTCTCTTGTTTTTTCGATGATCCAACAGATATTGGCAGTTTGATCTCTGGTTCCTCTGCCTTTTCTAAATCCAGCTTGAACATCTGGAAGTTCATGGTTCATGTACTGTTGAAGTCTGACTTGGAGAATTTTGAGCATTACTTTGCTAGTGTGTGAGATGAGTGCAGTTGTGTGGTAGTTTAAGCATTCTTTGGCATTGTTTTTCTTTGGGATTGAAATGAAAACTGACCTTTTCCAGTCCTGTGGCCACTGCTGAGTTTTCCAAATTTGCAGGCATATTGAATGCAGCACTTTAATAGCATCATCTTTTAGGATTTTAAATAGCTCAACTGGCATTCCATCATCTCCACTAGCTTGTTCCTAGTGATGCTTCCTAAGGCCTACTTGACTTCACGCTCCAGAATGTCTGGCTCTAGGTGAGTGATGATACCATCGTGATTATCTGGGTTGTGAAGATCTTTTTTGTACAGTTCTTCTGTGTATTCTTGCCACCTCTTCTTAATATCTTCTGCTTCTGGTAGGTCCATAACATTGTTGTCCTTCATTGAGCCCATCTTTGCATGAAATATTCCCTTGGTATCTCTAATTTTCTTGAAGAGATCTCTAGTCTTTCCCATTCTGTTGTTTTCCTCTATTTCTTTGCATTGATCACTGAGGTAGGCTTTCTTATCTCTCCTTGCTATTCTTTGGAACTCTGCATTCAAATGGGTATATCTTTCCTTTTATCCTTTGTTTTTTGCTTCTCTTCTTTTTTCAGTTATTTGTAAGGTCTCCTCAGACAGCCATTTTGCTTTTTTGCATTTCTTTTTCTTGGCCATGGTCTTGATCCCTGTCTCCTGTACAGTGTAATGAACATCCATCCATAGTTTATCAGGCACTCTGTCTCCAATATTTTGGCCACTTGATGCAAAGAGCTGACTCATTTGAAAAGACCCTGATGTTGGGAAAGATTTAAGGCAGGAGGAAAAGGGGATGACAGAGGATGAGATGGTTAGATGGCATCACTGACTCAATGGACATGAGTTTGGGTGAACTCTGGGAGTTGGTGATGGACAGAGAGGCCTGGTGTGCTGCAGTCCATGGGGTCACAAAGAGTCAGACACGACTGAATGACTGAACTGAACTGTCTATCTGATCTAGCCCCTTGAATCTATTTCTCATTTCCACCATATAATTGTAAGGGATTTGATTTAGGTCATACCTGATTGGTCTAGTGGCTTTCCACACTTTCTTCAATTTCAGCCTGAATTTGGCAAAAAGGAGTTCATGATCTGAACTGAAGTCAGCTCCTGGTCTTATTTTGCTGACTGTATAGGGCTTCTCCATCTTTGACTGCAAAGAATATAATCAATCTGATTTTAGTATTGACCATCTGGTGATGTCCATGTGTAGAGTGTTCTCTTGCATTATTGGAAGAGGGTGTTTGCTATGACCAGTGCGTTCTCTTTGCAAAACTCTATTAGCCTTCCCTGGTTCATTCTGTACTCCAAGGCCAAATCTGCCTGTTACTCCAGGTGTTTCCTGCCTTCCTACTTTTGCATTCCAGTCCCCTATAATGAAAAGGACATCTTTTTTTGGGTGTTATTTCTAGAAGGTGTTGTAGGTCTTCATAGAACCATTCAACCTCAGCTTCTAAAGTGTAACTGGTTGGGGCATAGACTTGGATTACTGTGATATTGAATGGTTTGCCTTGGAAATGAACAAATATCATTCAGTTGTTTTTGAAACTGCATTCAAGTACTGCATTTCGGACTCTTGTTGACTATGATGGCTACTCAATTTCTTCTAAGGGATTCTTGCTTACAACCTAGAGGCATATTAAAAAGTAGAGCCATCAGTTTGTCAACAAAGGTGCGTAGAGTCAAAGCAACTTTTCCCACTAGTCATGTAAGGCTGTGAGAAAACGGAAGTGAAAGTGTTAGTTCCTCAGTCCTGCCCAGCTCTCTGTGACCCCATGGACTGTAGCCCACCAGGCTCCTCTGTCCATGTGATTCTCCAGCCAAGTTCTGGAGTGGGTTCCCATTTCCTTCTCCAGAGTATCTTTCTGACTGGGGTATTGAACCTGGGTCTCCTGCATTGCAGGCAGATTCTTTGCCCTCTGAACCATCAGGGAAGCTGCACAGATGTGAGTGCTGAGGGCCAAAGAATTGATGCTCTCAAACTGTGGTGCTGGAGAAGACGTTTTTGAGTCCCTCGGACAGCAAGGAGATCAAATCTGTCAATCCTAAAGGAAATCAACCGTGAACATTAATGGGAGAACTCATGCTGAAGCTGAAGCTCCAAAAACTCTGGCCACCTGATTGGAAGAACCGACTCATGGGAAAAGACCCTGATGCTGGGAAAGACTGAAGGCAGAAGAAAAGAACAACAGAGGATGCGAAGGTTCCTGCTCGGTTCCAAGAGCTGCTGTGACCTTTTTTGACTCAGAAACAGGAAAAATATTTCTTGCAAAGCAGTAAGATTCATGGCTGATGGTCAAGGTAGAACTGAGCATTGCCTGTTGGAGAAAGAACAGTTCAGCCTGTGGTCAAGTTTATAATGGAAATGTGGAAAGATGGAGTTGCTATTACTCGATGTTGAAAAGATGGAGTCAGGAGTTCGATTTGTGGTATTTTAATGCACCTATTGAAAGCACTGTTTACTTAAAATGGTAAGATTCAGTGCTAACATAGACATTATAGGACGAAAAGAGGCCTGACAACTAATTACCAAGGGATTGAACAATTATAATTTGGAGAAAATGTGCTTGGTTCATAGACTACACCTAGTGAACCCCCTCAGGCCCGCTTTAATTCCCAAACTACATTTCCCATAATCCTTTACGCTCTGCCCTTCCTTGTTCGCGTCCAGTTTTGCAGTCCCGCGACACTTAGAAGGCGGAAGTGAAGCGGAAGCCATTACTCTTGGGAGGAGAGTGCTGCTATACACATGGGAAGAGGAGTGGTCCGCCGTTGCTTCTTACAAGCGCTTGGTCCCCGCGGCCGATCGGACTTTCCGTATGAACTTGTCATCCCCTCAACCGCAGCTTCCGTGACCTTTGCGTCCCATGATTCTACTGTCGGTGATGTAAGTCCCGCTTTCCTCATTTAACCCTTTACTCTTGGCCTTCGAGAAAACCCGGGAGGCCCCAAAAGCCGGCGGAGGTAACAGGGGACAGGACCTGGGACGCGGAAGCCAGGCAGGAGTGTGCTTTAGACCCTGTGATAAGCGTAATGAAGTGCTGGTGACGAAGTTTAGGACCAGGGTGAGGCACCAGTGATGTGGTCCAAAAAAACTGACATCTTGGGGTGAGGACAGAAAAACCCATTCCAGGTGAGTTCAGGACGTTATTGAGGCGGATATGTGTGTCAGGAATTGGAGACTCAAGGATAAACTACCTACCTTTTGCTTTGTGCTCATTTTGTCTAATATTAATAGGAGCACACCGATTTTCTTTCAGTTAACATTTGTCTTGAATGCTTTTTTACAGTTAAACTTTTCTGTTACTTTAGTTGACTGTCGTGTAAATAGTCTATAACTAGATTTAAAAATGCACTTCAACGTTGTTGTTTAACTTGGGAATTAGTCCATTAATATTTAATGTGATTACTAATATTTTGCATTGACTTTTGCCGTCTTATTTGGTGCTTTCTATTTTCCCTTAGAATAATTTTTTTATTAGAATATAGGACATATATGTCACCCCCAAAGTATGAAAACACACAAAATTAAAAGAAGAATAAAGTGAATCCTCAAACTAAGACAAGAAAAATAACATTATGAAAACTCAGAAACCTGTATTCTTCTGAACTGGATGCACCTCCTTCTCCATGATTTTCTTCCTGGATTTTATTGCTTATATGTTTTCTTAAAAATGTATTTCCTAATTTTTGTAATTACTTATGATGAATTACATGCACCCAGTATTTTCAGAGACATGCGCCTACCATTCTTTCTTAAATACCTAGTGACTTAAATTTTAGTCAGTTTACAAAGTTCCATATACTGTGGTTTTATTTGGAAATTGTGTTTTTTATATGTATATATATACACACACACTCACATATATAAACACACACACACACACACACACACACACACACCTGTGCGTGTGTATAAATTTGGGGAATATTGGCATTATTATGCCATTGAATTTTACAGTTAACTGGTTTCATCTTCTATAATGCTTTTCAATAAAGTTTTATGAGTATCAGCAAGAAAGATATAATGGTTTTTGTTATTGTTAGTTTTATTCCTTGGAAAGTATTGATGTATATTTATGTTTTTCTTTCATATCACAAATTTATTTTTATTATTTACTTTCTTTGCTGGACTTCTAGTAGCACTGAATGGAGTTCGAAAAGCCAACTTGAGGCAATCCTGTTTTCTTTCTGATCTTAAGGGAAATTAACTTGAGTTTTAGCTGAAGGCTTTTTTTTTTTTAATAGTATTAGGTAAAGGAAGCGCCTTTTTCCTAATCTAAGAGTTTTTTGTCATGGATCAGAGTGATTTTTCTTTTCCAGCATCTATTTTGATATGTTGATGTATTTCAGTCATCTCAAACTATGTCTGATGTGTAGGTTCTAGTTCTGTTTGTGCTTTAAATGAATAAGTGAAAAATATGATTATTTTATTTACCTGATAATGGTATTAAACCAACTACAGAATTAAACCAATCTACATTTGAGTGAAATTGGCTTGTAATTTTCCTTTTCTGTTTCAGGTTTATGCCAGCCTCATAAAATGGAGTGGGGTTGTTCTCTCTTTTTTTCTAAACTCTGGAATATTTTACCTAGGAGTAGAATCACTTTTTCCTTAAAAGGGAATTGTACCAGGAAAAACCATTGGGGACTGGAGGTTTTTATTTTTTCTAAAGCTGTTGTTTCACTTCTCTAAGAGTCAAAGGGCATCCAAGTTCTCTGTTTCATTATGGTAAATAAAATTTCTTTAGGAACTTATTCATTCCATCCAAAACTAAATTGTATAATCAAAATTGTTAAAATATGCTCGAGTTCAGTTCAGTCGCTCAGTCATGTCCCACTCTTTGCGACCCCATGGACTGCAGCACGCCAGGCCTCCCTGTCCATCACCTGGAGTATACTCAAACTCATGTCCATTGAGTTGGTGATGCCATCCAACCATCTCATCCTCTGTTGTTCCCTTCTCCTCCTGCCCTCAATCTTTCCCAGCACCAGGGTCTTTTCAGATGAGTCAGTTCTTTGCATCAGGTGGCCAAAGTATTGGAGTTTCAGCTTCAACATCAGTCCTTCCAATGAACACCCAGGACTGATCTTTAGGATGGACTGGCTGGATCTCCTTGCCATCCAAGGAACTCTCAAGAGTCTTCTCCAATACCGCAGTTCAAAACATCAATTCTTCGGCACTCAGCTTTCTTTATGGTCCAACTCTTAGAACTGTACGTGACTACTGGAAAAACCATAGCTTTGACTAGACAGATCTTTGTTGGTAAACTGTTGTTTCTGCTTTTTAATATGCAGTCTAGGTTGGTCATAGCTCTTCTTCCAAGGAGTAAGTGTCTTTTAATTTCATGGCTGCAGTCACCATCTGCAGTGATTTGGGAGCCCCCCAAATATAAAGTCTGTCACTGTTTCCATTGTTTCCTCATCTGTTTCACATGAAGTCATCTCTTACTGTGTTTTTAATGCTTGATACATGTGTAATGTTACCAGTTTTTCATTCTCATTTTTATATGTTTTTTCCTTTATTTTAAATAAATCCTGTCAGAATTGGGTCAATTTTGTTTTTCTCTTAAAACTTTTGGCTTGATTGAACCACTTTATAATATGTATATTTTCTATTTCATAACTTTGTGTTTTTCATAATTTTCTTCTTTTACTTTCTTGGCATGTTTCTTTACAGTTTCTTACATTGGATACCTGCATGTCCCAAAGGACTGTAGTGAGTATTCTATTGTATTTCAGTTCTAAGTATTATCAAATACTATGACTTCTTTGACATGAAAGTTATTTAGGACTTTTAGTTTCAATTTCTGTGACCTTTTTCTGGTTATCTTTTGGTTATTGTTTGCTAACTTACACTGTAGTCAGATTGATGCCATTTTCTGAGACACACATTGTACCCCATGTGTGGTTGGATTTTATAGTTAGGAAATACTGTTTCATCTTGTGCATTCTACATATAATTATTGAGTTGTCTGCTTGAACGTATTATTGAGAGCTCTCGTAGTGGCTTTGTCTATTCTCATTAGAGAGGCCCCCCCCCCCATACTTTTGAGGCAAAAACAAATATAGTATATAGCTAAAACTGTATATTGCTTTTTCTGGGGTTATACCTTTTTTCATTATGCAGTTTCCTCAGTTTTCACTCTTAGCCTTTTTGCTTTAATTCATTCTGGTATTAAAATATTTAAACCAGATTTTTAAAAAAGTATTTACCTTGTATGTGAAGTGAAAGTCACTCAGTCATGTCCGACTCTTTGAGACCCCATGGATATAGTCCATGGAATTTTCCAGGCCAGAATACTGGAGTGGGTGGCCTTTCCCTTCTCCAGGGGATCTTCCCAACCCAGGGATTGAACCCAGGTCTACCCGCATTGTATGCAGATTCTTTACCAGCTGAGCCACAAGGGAAGCCTGTTTACCTTGTATATGTTCTTTATATTTCCTTTCTTGCTATATTCTTATTTTTTAGATGTTCTTGCAAACACCATATAACTGGATTGTTTTTACTCCATTTTGAGAATCTCTTTACTGTAGTTGAAGTGTTTGGTCAACTTTTTTATAGCATCTTTTTTTTTTTTCTGCCCTCTTCTTTTGATTTGAGAATTTTGTTCACTCCACATTTTTCTCTGCATGTTTTCAATTTACCTATGTATTTATATATATAGATAGATAGATAGATAGATAGATAGATAGAATTTATTTATGTGTATTATCTTAGTAGTTGTCTTGGAGAATTCTTATCCTTGTTCATTCATGAAATTTAGATTTTTGATACCTTATCACTCTTCTGGTTTACATGGTTTTGTGATCATCCATTTTATTATTATTTTTTTTAATATTTATTTAATTATTTGGTGTGCCTGGTCTTAGTTGTGGCAAACAAGATCTTCAATCTTCATCTTTATTTTGTGGTATGCAGGGTCAAGTTCCCTGACCAGGGATTGAACCTGGGCCCCCTGCATTGTGAGCAGAATTTTAGCCACTGGACCATCAGGGATGTCACTGATCATGCATTCTAATTGTGTCTTTTTTTTTTTTTAACTTGAAAGAGATTATTGTGTATAGTCATGTTTAGTTTCATTATACCCACACATTTTCCTCATTGTGTTCTTTCTTTGACTCTTGGACCCTTTGGTGTAAGTTCTTAACAGTCTTTGCTTCCTTGAATTTTTTCTCCCTAAAATATTTATTTTAGAATTTCTCTTTTCTGTGAGTGGCAAGTTCAAATATGCTGTTATTTTGCTATCTTAATGGACATTTTGATTTTTAAACTATATTCCAGAGCCATGAAGATGTTCCACTATCTTCTGGCTCCCATTGTTGCTGGCCAGAAGTCAGGTGTCAGCCTAGTGTTTTATTTTTTTAAAGCAATGATTCTTAAAGTGTGTTCTTCAGACCAACAGCATCAGCATCACCTGGGAAGTTGTTAGAAACGCATATTCTTGCATTTTACACCCCATATCTTCAGAGTAAAAAACTGGGGCTGGGGCCTAGCAATGTGAGTTTTTTCAAATACATTTCCAGTGTGTTTTAACAAGCTTTCCAGGTGATTGAGATGCAGCTTGAAGTTTAAGAACCTTTGCTCTAAAGGTAACCTGTTCTTTTTTCCTCCCTGGCTGCTGTTCAGATATTCTTTTGCTATTGCTGTTCTCTGGTTCAGTTTAATTGTATCTAACTCTCATCTGTTTTTGTCTTCAGTCTCTTTATATTTGCCTTCTGAAGTGAGAAATTCACAGCTACTGTGTTTTGCAATAATTGCCTGGACTCCTTCCTTCTCCTTTTAGAATCCTGTTTAGAATCAGTTCAGCCATTTTCCCTCTGTCCCCCATGGCTCTTTATGCTTATCATCTCCTACCTGTGTGCCCCCATGTTTATTCTCTAGAAGTGGTTTTTAAATTTAAGCCTGTGTAAAAATCACCTACAGTGCTTGTTATTAATAAGATAGATTCATCAGTCTACTTCAGAACTCTCATTTAATTGGGCTTGGATATGAACTGGGCATCAGAATTATTGAAGTTCTCTAGGTGATGTTTATGCAGCTGGCTTGAGGACCACACTTTGAAAAACAGGGGGTTTTTTTGAGAGGGGGACTGTATAATCTGATGAAACTCTTCATTTCAACATTTTGCCTTTATTTTAATAATTGTAATTGTCCTTTTAGAAATTGCACATTTTAAACTTTCTGCGTATTTATTATCAGCATGTGAATGATTTTAAAACATACCTGTGTTTATTTTGTATTGCACTTAAAATAGTTTTGAATGGAAGATTTAAGCAGTATATGTAGATTGCCTGTTGGAAACAGAAGTATTAATCTGTCCTTTTATCCCCTGGGACATTTCATCTGGTTGGTTGAAAGCCTACAGATAGTGAAGTATGAAGTGAAGTGAAGTAGTGAAGTGAAGTTGCTCAGTCGTGTCCAACTCTTTGCGAACCTGTGGATTGTAGCCCACCAGGCTCCTCTGTCCATGGGATTCTCCAGGCAAGAATACTGGAGTGGGTTGCCATTTCATTCTCCAGGGGATCTTCCCGACCCAGGGATTGAACCCAGGTCTCCCGCATTGCAGACAGACGCTTTAACCTCTGAGCCACCAGGGAAGCCCGTTAGTGGAGTATAGAGATGTTAATTTATGAGTGTAACACATTTCTGGAGTAAAAAAAAATGGCTTACAGTGTTCTCACAACTATTGTTTCTTTGAGCCTACAGGAATAACTGGTAGAAACAGTTCTAGCAGGGGCAGAAATACCACTCAATAAAAGTAATAGAAAGATTATTCTCTCTATAGTATTTCCACCTGCAAATTCTGAGTATCTTTGGGTTGTATTACAAAATTGAATATGGGGATTTTAAATCAAATATTGGAGGAATTATGGCCACAAAAGGAGAAATCATAATAGAATGATTGTAAAGGATAAAATGTGTTTTGGACTGAAAAACCGATGAAGGTGGGTCTTCTGTAATTGTGAGGAGCAGGGGTGAGATGAGGGTGAGGTAGAAATGCATGTGAGCATGCAGAATACATGGTGGCGTTTACTCTGTGCTTGTGTGATGCTGAAATCTGTATCCAGGGTCACCAATTCTAGTTTTAGTGGTATAATTGCTCAGATGAGAAATACTCCAGAACTTTGCTTTGGTCTCTAGTTTACATTACCATGAGTCTTTGAAAATATCCTACAGGTTTGAAATTGATATGAGTCCTTTCTCCATCCAGGCTTGAACCACTTGTGTACCTTGCCCCATATTGCAGATGGTGGTGAACAGTGGGGGCCAAGGCATGCCTAAGCCACATGGCTGTGTCAACATACATCTCATAGGACCTGAACAGGATCCCCCTCCCCTCCCAGTTCCATCCCTTGTGATCTTCCCAAGACCCCAGGCCCAGGGATGTCTTCTCAGTATGAAGAGAAATGTGGGTCAGCTTATTTGTCACCATTCATTCTTTCACACTCTTTAAATCTGTTTATTATTTGAGGTACTGTTCCATACACTGCATACTCCGTTGCTTAGTCCTGTCCAACTCTTTGTGACCCCATAGACTGTAGCCCGCCAGGCTGTCCATTGGGTTTTCCAGACAAGAATACTGGAGAGTGGGTTGCCATTTCCTTCTCCAGGGGATCTTCCTGACCCAGGAATCGAACCTGCATCTCTTATGTCTCCTGCATTGGCAGGTGGATTCTTTTACCCACTGAGCCACCTGGGAAGCCCTTCAGACACTGCAGCAGTGAACAAAACAAAGAAGTGAAAAATCTTTGTCTTCTTGGCACTTCTTGTCTAGCAAGGTATACATTGTGTAAGAGATTTTGTCCAGAGAGCAAATTTTTGAATCATTGTTAGTGAGGTGACCTGATTCTAGTGATGACAAGCCCTGAGCTGTAGCCCACAATTGTGTATGTTGACATAGAGTATGGGGCCAAAAGGCATTGGAGATCAGAACACATGGTCCTAGATGGACCCTCCTCATTGTTACTTGAACCATTGTAAGCCAGGATGAACCTTGAAGAAGTCTGGAGCCTAAGTGTTTAGTGAGTGATAGAGTTTAGCATAATTGTAATTGGTGACATGGACTTCTCATGTGGCTCTGTGGTAAAAGAATCTGCTTGCCAAGCAGGAGATGCGGGTTTGATCCCTGCATTGGGACAGTTCCCTGGAGTAGGAATTGGCAACCACTCCACTATTCCTGCCTGGGAAATTTCATGGACAGGGGAGCCTGGTGGGCTACAGTCCATGAGTTGCAAAGAGTTGGACATGGCTTAGTGACTGAATAACAATTGGTGACACATTACTTGAGAGAGTGACTCTGAATCTTAGTTGAGGTGGGTCCAGGACCTCCACCATATTGCCTGAAGGTTTTACCTAAGCAAGGCTAAGACCCAGGATGAGACAGAATTTGCTGCTCAAAAGAGGAAATGCTGAAAAACAAGTCCGAATTGTCGTGTGAGCGGGAGAGACAGAAAACCTTTGGCTACACCTAGTATAGTATTCTTTTTCTCATTTCCTGCAGATGTCTGCTCCAGGAGGCCCATGAGAGAGAAAGTAGCTCCCTCCTCCCAGGCCCTGCTGTTCAGGCAGATTTACTGTCATTCTTGAAGATGGCAGCTCTTGGCCTGGTTCCTACATGTGGTAAGTTCTTTGGGTGTTGAATACCCTCAGAAATCAAGCTTCTGTGGCTCCTGCCACTTCACTGACGGCAAGGATGTGCACAGCTGTGGGAAGGCTGCCAGGTCAAAAGTGGTGGAGGATACATGAACTGAAATGGGTGGGGCAAAGTCCTGAGAGGTCCCCTAGCAACTGTGTCTGATTCAGGATCTTTGTGAGTTTGGGTGAGGCAGGGAGTGTTTGTAGTTGGTGAGTAAGGAAGGCTACAGGTAATTGATAACCCATTTATTATTTTGATAAACCTGAGCAAAATAATAGCTCCATCTCTTAGAGCTTTCATTTCTTCTCTCATAAATTGAGAGTGTATATAATTTTCTTTTTTTTTGAGAATGTATATTAGTTTATATCTTTCTTTTTTATTTTTTGAGAATGTGTGTCATTTTCTTTATGGCTATGTAGGCCCACCACCCTTTTTCCTGTCCTTGAGTGGAATAGGGCTTCTCTGGCTTGTTATACAACTTGTGTGTGTGTGTGTGTATGTGTGCGTGTGTGCGCGCGATTGTGATTGGGGCATATGCACTGCACACACACATAATTAGTATGGGATCATTTCCTTATTTACAAGTGTCAGGTGGGCTTTAATCCTCATAGGTTCTCTCTCCTCTAGCTATGCCCAACCAGGAGCCTGCCTATATCCATGAGTCAGAAATTCCTCTTTCTTCAAAAGACCATTCCTGTCCCCAGGATGTGGACCTGTTTGCATGCAATGGCCTGGAGCCTCATACATCAACCAGTGTTGAACCACCTCAGGTATACCAAGTTCTTTAAGACCCCTGAAGGTGGGGGAGGGTCTTCATCTAGGTTGATGGATGCCTGATCAGAGTGCAAGAGGAAGAACCAGAGAAGGTTGTGAGGCTGGTATCAGGGATGTTAGGGAAAATGCTGTGTAACAGGTTGTGTTTTCATCATACAGCACAGAGCTCTCAGGCCAGGCTAAAAGTGAAAGGAGGTTTGATCCCATGTCAGAGTTGCATTTGAAACCATGAGATAGGATGAAATTATCTCATAAGGAAGAGAAGACATCTGAGGACTGTCTTCTAAAGTAAATGTTTAGACCCCAGAGCCAATTATTGAAAATCCTGTGTTTAGAGTCTCTCACACATAGTCTTTATCTTCAGCTGTCTTTTTTAACACAGGCTGGGTTCTCACTGACCCAAAATGTGTGTGGTTTCAGGAATCAGTGACTTTCCAGGATGTTGCTGTAGACTTCACTGAGAAGGAGTGGCCCTTGCTGGACTCTACTCAGAGAAAACTGTACAAAGATGTGATGCTGGAGAACTATAGCAACCTTGCTTCAGTGGGTAAGGCTGGTGTCATTTCTTCATTCGTTCATTCATGATTCAAATGTCCTTGTTACAAGTGCTTGCTGTGACTCAGGAACTGTGTGGGGATTTAGAATACAGTTATGAACAAATTGACCTGGTCCCTGCCCTAGTGGTATCTCCCTTTGGATATTGAGATCTGTCCACTGCATTGACCTTGGAGGTTATGTGTGTCCGACCTTGGGCATAGTTTTCTGAGTTAAGAAATCCTCATTCTTTTGAAGGGCACAATGTGTGGGAATATTTGGGGTTTTGTGCTTTATGAAAGCCTTTCACTGTGTTCCTTAGAAATGTGGCACCACCATTTTGCTGCTCCTAAGTCAGACTTGTCCATCCTCAGAACACTGAAGACCAAAACACTGACACGAGAGTATTGGAAGGGGTGGTCCTCTGCATGATCCTCCCTCAATATATGTCTTTCCCCGTGAGCAGGGTGCCAGGTGGGCAAACCCAGCCTCATCTCCCACTTGGAGCAAGAAGAGGAGCTGAGGACAGAGGATCGGGAGCTTCACCGAGGCCCTTGTCCCGGTAAGCGCCAGGCAGACACAAGTGCTGCTGAGAATCTGCACTTGCCAGCAATAGGGATGAGTGGGGTTTCCTCGGGAAACCTCACCCAGGTTGAAAATGCACTCTCTCTTTCACTGCACCTCCATCCGCTCAAAAGTCTTTTGGTTTCGGTGTCCCTTCATCTTTAAATTTGAGGTGGCCATGTGGGCTCTTTGTCCCATTCTTTCTACTCAACATTCCTGGTCATACTCTTAATAGCATTATCAATGTAAGTATTTGAAGAGTTAATTCTTAGTGAGTCAACTTAAATTTCTACCCCCTTCATTGCCAAATGTCTCACATGTCCAGATTTTTCAGTCCTTTTTACTTATGTGTGTTCTCCCCTCTCACTTTCCATTTCCTTCTTTATGGTTTGTATCTGCAAAGAAAGCCACCTCTGTTTTTGTCACCATCATCCCACCATTTTCCTTCACCAGCAGGTTGATATTTTTCCAATTTGTTTCAGATTGGGCGACGCCATCTCAAACCAAATGGTCAATTCTTATGGAAGATATTTTTGGGAAGGAAACATCTAATGGTGTGACAGTGGTAAGATTTCCTTGGAATAATTCTGAATCGTCCATATTGAGAGAGGACAGGGGCAGCCTGAGTTAGAAAAGCTTCTCAAAACCAGGCAGGTCCCCCACACCCCTCAACCACCCCCAAGAGCAAACAGTGATAGAGATAATATTACCAGTTTTGAGAAAACCCTGAATTTGGCCCCAGAATTTTCTTAAAGTTCTATTGAGTAATTATTTCTATAACTACATCTCAGATGTCGAGTGTTGGCTTAATTTAGTTTTGAACAGTTAACAGAGTACATATGCAAAAAGCTTTGTGAAAGTTACACACATGGCATTCAGTTGTTTTCTTTTTTGATGGAGTCCATACAGGGCAGAAGCGACACTTTGCTTTGCAGATTGTGACATCATTAGTAATTATGATGTGCTTCTGCTTATATCAGTTTATGTGGGGATAGTCTCAGGAATGTAACAAACATGGGAAATGCCTTAGTCAGTGCTCCCTTTCCATCAACAGGAAAGCAGTCAGCTTGGAGAGAAGTCCACGGAATACACTAACCTGTTTGACGTCTTCAGCATAGGCGCTCATCTCACTCAGCAGATGGGAAGGCACACTGGCAAGAGACCGTATCACCTCCGGGACTGTGGGGTGGCTTTCAGGAACAGGTCCCATGTAACTCAACACGTGAGCATTTACAACGGGAGGAAGATGCACGAATGTCATCAGTGCCAGAAAGCCTTCACCACAAGTGCTTCCCTCACACGGCACAGGAGAATACATACTGGGGAGAAGCCCTATGAGTGCAGTGCTTGCGGGAAGGCTTTCAATGATCCCTCAGCCCTCAGGAGTCACGCAAGAACTCACCTCACAGAGAAGCCCTTTGACTGCAGTCAATGTGGGAATGCCTTCCGCACCCTCTCCTCCCTGAAGATACACATGAGAGTCCACACTGGGGAGCGGCCGTACAAGTGTGACGAGTGTGGGAAGGCTTATGGCCGGAGCTGCCACCTCATTGCCCACAGGAGAACACACACTGGGGAGAGACCCTACGAGTGTCATGATTGTGGCAAGGCTTTCCAGCACCCCTCCCATCTCAAAGAGCATGTCAGGAATCACACTGGGGAGAAGCCCTACGAGTGCACGCAGTGTGGAAAAGCCTTCCGGTGGAAGTCAAACTTTAACTTGCACAAGAAGAACCACGCAGTAGAGAAAAGCTATGAGTGTAAGGAGTGTGGGAAATCTTTCGGGGACCTCCTGTCCCGGAGGAAACACATGAGAATTCACATTGTTAAGAAGCCTGTTGAGTGCAGACAGTGCGGGAAGGCATTCAGGAACCAGTCCATCCTCAAGACGCACATGAATTCCCATACTGGAGAGAAGCCGTATGGATGCGACCTCTGCGGGAAAGCCTTCAGTGCGAGCTCCAACTTAACTGCGCACAGGAAGATCCACACCCAAGAGAGACGCTACGAGTGTGCTGCCTGCGGGAAGGTCTTCGGAGACTATTTATCCCGGAGGAGGCATATGAGCATTCATCTAGTGAAGAAGCGTGTTGAATGCAGACAGTGTGGGAAAGCCTTCAGAAACCAGTCGACCCTCAAGACACACATGAGAAGTCACACAGGAGAGAAGCCTTATGAGTGCGACCACTGTGGGAAGGCCTTCAGCATCGGCTCAAACCTCAATGTACACAGGAGGATACACACTGGGGAGAAGCCTTATGAGTGCCTGGCCTGCGGGAAAGCCTTCAGTGACCATTCGTCCCTCAGGAGCCATGTGAAAACTCACCGGGGTGAGAAGCTCTTTGTGTCATCGGTGTGGAAAAGGCTCCAGTGACACATCTTTTTTAAAGAAAAGCATGAGAATTCAGATTGACAGGGAACCTGGCAGGTGTCAGGAAGGCAGGAAGCTTTGAGGAACTCATCTCACTGTTAACTTGGGAGAAAATCCAGTTCGTATAATAACTGGGGAAAGACTTGGGTTTTTCCACATCACATTGGAACTATGTGAGAACTCATAGTGGGTGAGAAAACGTGTATCTGAGGTATGAGGAAGCCATCAGTTTACATGTAGCTCTCAACAAACAGGAGAACTTGGAGAGGGAACCCCTAACCTGGTATTTAATGTCAGAATGACTTTAGTACCACCTCGTACCTTCTGGGCACAAGAACAAGCTCATCTTGGAGGATCTCTGTAAATTCCATGACTGGACAAACCTTTCCTGGTCTGATTGTATCCCTCATGAGAGAAATCACACTAAAGAGAAAAATCTATGAAATGAGGACCATGGGGAAGCCAGTAACAGGTTGGCAAGCTATAGCCAGCTGTCTGTTTTTATGCAGTTGGCAAGTTTAGAATAGTGGTTGTGTTTTTAAAGAAGAAAAATATGTGATGGAGACCACTTTTGGCCCACAAAACCTAAAATACTCAACTCTCTGGCCCTTTACAGAAAAAAATTGCCAGTTCTTTATCTACAGCAGTGGGGATAACTTTGCTCCCTGGGGGGCATTTGGCAAAGTCTAGAGACATAGTTGGTCTTTAAAAGTGGAGGGGGGTTGCCATTGGCATGTTTTGGAAGACACCAAGGATGCTGCTAAATATCCTACAATGCACAGGGCCTTTCCTCAAGAGGGAGAAAGTATGTGCCCCAGAATGTCAGTATTGCTACGGTTGAGAAATTTTAACCAACAGTTCCTCATGTTTTTGTGAAACATGTGGGTACTCACATTATGAGAAATTCCTATTTACAGCTTCAAAACTATACTCAGTGTAATTCTTTTAGGAATCACATGAGAACCCACATTACAGACAATCCCTCTGTGGAGTTTCATCCACAGCCCTCTCACGTGTGTGTATGAGAGTTCTCTCCCCAGTAGGATTTCTCAGTATGTGTGGAATTACACTTATCAGTCAGTCTTCTATCACGAAAATGGACCCCAGCTCATTAATTTTTCAGTCTTTAATTTTAAGGTTATGCTCTTGCAAATAACCCTATGCCTCATCACAGAAGGTTTGTACATAGTAATTCTACTATAATTTCATTTGTGATATGTGTTTATTTCCTTTTGGACAACTTACTTTGAACAGTGGAGTTTTTTTTTTTTTTGTTTTGTTTTTTTAAGACTAGTGTCATGTGCTGTGTAACATGTGGGTATTTTTAGTACCTGTTTGTTACAAATATCTAATTCAAATAAGTTGTGATCAGAGCAGGATGTGTTCATCAAATTGATCCTTTGGAATGTTTTTGGGCTCCTATCCAGCCACAAGTAACCTAAACTTGTAGTTGCATCTTCAGTATCTTTTTCTTTCATATCAGAAAGATCCAAGTTCTGATTAGTAAGGTATGCTATTTTAGAAAATCTCTTACAGGTTTTCCTGCAACTAGTAGAGTCCATGTCCACAGCCTGGCCATTGACAAAAAGGCAGATGCCACAATAACAGGCTGTGAGAAAGCACTTGAGAAAGGGTCTGTCTTACTTGGATTCTTCTCTACATTTTTTTCCCCTTATTCTTCCCCTTACTTCGCACCTTGAGAAGAGATCCAGTACCTAGTGTTAAAGATCCATGTTATGACCATGAGGATGCAAGCCACAGGCTAAGCAAGAGGAGTGGGGCAGTTTACTGCAGAAAAATCACAATAATCTTGGCTTCCTCGATGGCCTCTTTGAGCGTCTGCACTAGCCCTGGATTTGTTATTTCCAGACTTACTATTACATGAGAAAAAATAAAACTGGTTATTGGTTTAAGCTGCTTTGGATATTTCATTGTTTAATCTATTTAATAATTGCTTTATTGGTGGTTGGAATGTTCTACTGTACCAGATTGGGTGTTGTCCATAACCCATGCCTCAGGTCATTAGTGGGGTTGGGTAGCTGCTGCTATACATGTGGGTATAATCTGTTTATAATTGTTGGATTTGGGTTTTTAAAAAATCCTTAAGGGCATCCCTGGTGGCTCAGTGGTAAAGAATCCACCTGCAGTGCAGGAGACCTGGGTTCCATCCCTGGGTCAGGAAGATCCCTTGAAGAAGGAAGTGGCAACCCACTTCATTATTCTTGCCTGGAAAATCTTTTGGACAGAGGAGCCTGGCAGGCTACAGTCCATGGGGTTGGAAAAGAGTCAGACATGACTTAGTGACTAAACAACAAAAATCCTTGTACCCCTGTTTTTAAATTGTATTTCATGTCTCTGATGTGCTTAAGCATTATTTCTTAACTTGTGTTGAAGTAAGCGTATTGGTTTTTGCAAAAACCCTAAGAAATAGGTAGTGCCAATAACGCCCTTTTGCATATGGGCAGTCTGAGGCAAGGAAGTTTGTTACTTGTTTGAGGTCAGCTCATTAACAAGTTGTAGTGCCTTTCTTGTTTACTTGTTTGAAATATTTATTTATTTGGTTGTGCCAGGTCTTAGTTGGGGCATACAGAATCTTTAGTTGCATCATGTGTACTCTAGTACCCTGACCAGGGATGGAACCTGGGCCCCCTGCTTTGGGAGCACAAGTCTTACCCACTGGACCACCAGGGAGGTCCTTGTGCCCGTGTTTCAAGTTCATTCTTATGTTGGACCCTGTTCGGTGCCCTGAGTCTATAGCAGTGAATCAGGATTTTTGCCTTTATGGTGATCACATTCTACATGGGATGAAGGCACTTGATAAACAAATGACTAAATATGTGGCCATATTGGCAGTCATTTCAGTGCCCCAAAATTTAAGCATGGTGATGATGACAGGGATGTGGGAGTTCAGTGAGTCTATTTTACGGATAGGGAAAACCTTTTGCTTAAGGGGACATTGTTGAGCAGAGATGTAAATTCCCTGCAAGTGTGTGCCATGTTCTGATGTAGCAAGAGCACCCGAGGCAGTTCAGAGGTCATGAAAAAAGAATTTTGCTTGCTAGGGCCAGTGTGGCTGGAAATCTGACAAGCTTGGGAGTCACAGAAGGTGGTAAGGTCAGTGCTGGATTGGGATCCTTTACACAGGGGCATCTTGTGGGTCAACTGGAAAGACTTCACCTTTTATTCTCTGTGGAAGGTCAGTGGAGGGTTCTGTACAGAGAAGTAACAACTATTCCATCTCTGTTTTAAAGAATCATTGGCTTTCAGGTTGGTTGGCTGAGTACAAGGATAGGATGCAAAAACAGAAATGTTAAAAGTTCATTGCAGAGTTGAAGTTAGTATAACGGTGTCCAGTTGCTGTATTTGAAATAGATAACTAACAAGGACTTACTGTATAGCACATGGAACTCTGCTCATTGTTATGTGGCAGCTTGGATGGGAGGAGAATTTAGGGGAGAATGCATCCATGTATATGTATGGCTGAATCCCTTCACTGTTTGCATAAAATTACCACAACATTGTTAATCACCTATAGCCCAATACAAAATAAAAAGTTTAGAGTTTGAAAATAAAAAAAGTAACAGTATTAGTATCGGGTTGGCTGAAAAGTTCACTTGGGTCTTTCTGTAAGATCCTAGGAAAAAGCCACATGAACTTTTTGGCTAACTAGTAAGGGCATTTCGAGAAGCACATTGAATGTGGCTGTAGTTTCATTTTCACTTCGGATGAGTGGTTCCTTATCATCCCACAATTTGTTTAACAACAGCTGATGTACAGTTCCTGGACTGTTTTCACTTTCCCTGATTATGAACAATGCTGTTGTAAGAAAATGTATAACACACTTTCTGGAGTGTTCAGTTATTCCAGGAGTGTGAAACTGTTAGGTTGTAAGGTCTGTGCATGTTCAGTTTATCTTAATGCCAAAGGTGTTTCTAAGTGTTTGTGTATGGTTTGTGTGTGGTATCATGTAAAACAGGTGTTGCTGAACTTCAGAAAAGTGTTTAACTCATACTTTGTTATTGTTTACTTGCTAAGTCATATCTGACTTTTTCGCAACCCCAGGGACTATAAACTGCCTGGCTCTTCTGCCCATGGGATTTCCCAGGCAAGAATACTGCAGTGGGTTGCCATTTCCTTCTCTGGGGCATCTTCCCAACCCAGTGATCAAACCCATGTCCCCTACATTGGTAGATAGGTTTTTTTTGCCACTGAGCCACCAGGGAAGCCCTAACTCATGTACAACTAAATTGTCACATGAACTCATCCATGTAAGCAGGCAAGAAAAGTGTTTTACATGTTTTAGTATTCCTGATAACTCCTCCTCGCCAAATAACAAACCTTGCCTTACTCCCCACAAGTGACCTGTGTTCTGGCTCTGACAACATAGCTTGGATTTTTATTTTTGGACCCTAGTGGAACCAAACAGTATACGTTCTTTAGTGTTGATCTTAATTTACTCAAAATTTTCGTGAAACTGATCCATATTGTCTTGAGTTCCTCTAGATAGTAGTATACTTTATTGTGTTCCATTGTTTGAATATTCCAGTTTATTTCAGCAGTTTGTGTTGGTGGACATTTGACTTCTCAGTTTGAGTCTATTGTAAATAATGCTGCTATGAGCATATTTTAATATTTCTGATAGTGCATAAGTGCATGAGTGTCTGTTGGCTTTATACCCTGGACTAATATCACTGGGTCATACGGGATGCATATTTCATAAATGATGCCAGTTTTCCAAAGTGTTTGTAGACAGTTTTCCAACAGGCTCTTTTATGGAATTGGATCAGATGATACCAAATTTGCCTGCCTTTTCTTACTGATTTGTATATTCCAAATGTGGGCCTTATGGCTGGATATGTTTTGCAAGTAATTTTCCCCATTCTGACTTGTCTCTTCAGTGTTCTAATTGTTATCTTTTGATGAAATAAGTTCTTAATTTTAATGTCATCTAATCTTTATGGGCATCCTCTTCTTGTGTAAGAAACATTTACCTACCCTGAGGG